TTGCCAAGGACTCCCCACGTAAGGGGTAGGAGTTGGAGTGACCAATCAGCTGGGGGTAATTTGTGGAGGGGGACGGAAAAGAGATGAATTGGCAGCAGAGGGGGAAACACCCCGGAAATTCAACCCCCGGCCCGCCCTCCTCAAAGAAAAAAAAAAAAAAAAAAACAGCCGTCACATACCCAACAAATTTATATATAAATATATTTACTTTTTTCAAATATGTAACAAACAAATGAAACGAACATGCAAAAACCAAATAAACAAACGGTGAAAAAAAAAAAAAAAAAAGGTAAGAGGGCGGAACGATTGCCTGCGGTTATAAATTATTATCGTTTTTTGTTGTTGCTGTTTTGTTTCAATGGAATACAATTGTGGGTGCCCATCAACGCACAACTCTCCGTCAAACATGACATGTCAAGTACAACAATAACACTTTTCAAAATAATTGGGTAGACTGAAAAAAAAAACAAAAAAAAAAAAAACGTGAAAAAAAAAAAAAAAGGAGAAGCAAACAAACAAAGAAAAGAAAAGAAAAGAAAAAAAGGAAAAAAAAAAAAAACAACAACAACAGAAATACGCGTAAATACGCGCAACAAATCTACATGCCAAAAAGAAAGCAATTCGCCAAAATCAGACCGAATTATCCATTACTTCTTAAAACAACAAAATACCCTATTAAAAAATGCTATCATACTGTTTTCACGCGCGTCCCGAACACGTGACTCACATCCATCTCGTGTTGCCTTTTTGGAGGAGGGATTAGCCAGGGAACTGTTTTCGCCACGTCCATTTAAATGCCGTTGACGTTCATCTGGTGCCTTATCACGACCCGAACGACATTGTGAGGAAAGATTCGTGTGCCTTTTTAAATGCTGTTCCGATTTTTGGGCAGCCGATTCATTTCCTTGAGAGCGCTCGCGTTCAAGTTCACGTTCACGTTGACGGTGTTGCCTTCCTTGGCGTGTGTACCGCCCCAATTGGTGCTGCAAAAGTATCGCAAAAATGTCATCGTCCGTTGCACGAACAGGAGGCGGAGCCTCATCCTCTGCCAGTCCCCGCAGCGTCTCTGACGCACACATTGGACAGACGTTGCTGCGTTGTTTCCAATTCATGAGACAGGGCAAATGAAAATGGTGCTTGCATTCCCCATACAACATGGGGTTCTCCTCCGTATATTCCTCCAGGCAAATGCAGCAAATTTCCTCTTCTTCGCTCTTTTCCGTGGCCGCCACAACCGCCTTTTCTTTACACACCTTCCCAAAAGAAGTTAAACTGCCGGCCGGTGTGGAATAACAGCATTCTCCATTAACAA